TACATAAATATCTAATTTAAGGAAAATTATTTTTATTTAATTAATTATAATGTACTATAAGATTTTTAATAAAAAGTAGTTAATTATTTGATGGGAAAATTGATTTAGAAACTATTAGTCATACTATAATTAATTACAACAATAATAATAATAAAATTTATTTATTTTATTGATACATAAATAAATAAATAAATTTTGTCTCAATTAAATATAATTTTGAACATAAATTATTTTTATATTAAAAATATTTTTGATTAATAATTAAAATAATATATATATATATATATATATCTAAATAAAAAATAACAAACAAATATACCGAATCACTAAATATTATTAGTTTTAGTTTATATAACTTATTTTTATATAAAAAAAATTTTATATTTAAAACTATATTTTTATTTAAAAAAATATACATAAAAATTACAATCATTTTTAAATATTAGATATTTTTAAAAAAATAATTATTAATAAAATTAGTAAAATAAAATATTATTAGTTTATATAACTTATATAATACTAAATTTTGTTATATATATATATATATATATATATATATATATATATATATATATATATATATTTATAGATATACCGAACCACTACTAGAGGGACGACCCAATTGCTATACATTTGCCAAAGCACTGGCCGAACATATCGTTCATCGTGACCGACCCGACCGCTTGCCAGTAGCCATAGTCCGGCCATCGATAGTCCTGCCCACCTATCAGGACCCGACTCCCGGTTGGATCGACTGTTTTAACGGTGCTACTGGTATCGGAGTAGTAGGTTCACTGGGTATTATGCGTATTGCCGACTACGATGGCCAAAAACATACCAGTTTTATACCGGCCGATATGATTGCCAATGCACTGGTAGCCGCTGCCTGGCATCTGGTAGCTACCCGTCCCACGGATGTCCAGATCTATCATTTGGCTTCGGAACCACATAATACACCAGCTGTTGGCAAAATAATCGCAGCGTTTGTATTGGCCCAACAGGACAGTCCATCCATCAAAGTGGTCCGACCGCATGCCGGTATACCCCAGTACCGACCCTCACGGTTACGTGTTTGGCTGACAGTAATGGTATCGCACCTGATGTTTGCCTATCTGGTCGATGCTATTATCTGGCTATTGGGTCATAAACCCATGTATGTATTCAATTTGTTTTATCAATATATTTTTATTATAAATATATAGATTTATATTTAATTTATTATTTTTTTAAAAAAATAGATTTAATAATTTAGCATATTTTAGTTGTTTAAAAAAAATTATATTTTTAATAAAAACATTTTTTTTTGTTTTTTGTAAACATTAATTATTAGAAACTGTTTTTACTATATAATTGTGATTTTTTTAATAGTAGATATGTTTAGTATAATATAATATTTTATATATAGTATAATATGATTCAACAATTTTTAACATAATTATAAAAAAATATAGAAATATTTTTTCAAATTATATTATTTAAATACATTTTATTATTATAGCATAAGGTAACTATAGTTGTTTAGTAATAATAAATATTTAGATTAATATTAATTTAATGTATATACAAAATTACAGTTTATATTATTTATATTAAAATTATCTTAATATTTATATTTAATTTATTATTTTAAAAAAATAGTTTTAATAATTTAGCATTAATTTAGTTGTTTTTAAAATTAAATTTTAATAATTTTTTTGTTTTGTTTAGTATCATTAATTGTTAGAAACTGTTTACTAAATAATTTATTATTATTATAAACATAAACAGTATAAAGTTGTTATTTTTAATTAAAATTAATTATAATAATAGAAAAAATATAACAAAAATTTTATTAAAGTTTGAATAATAGATAATATTAGTTAATTTTTGTTTGAATAATATTTATGAATTAATTAATGTATATTTCAACTTTTAAATATAATATAAATTTATAATATATAAAAATTTACAGTTTTTAATTGAATTTTATCAAAAATTATTTGTATAAAATGTACAAATAATTTTTTTTTAATTTTTTTTAATTATTTTTAATTCAATTTATTAAAAAAATTATTTTTTGTTAATATAAAATTCAATGCTAGTTATTATATTGTAAATTATTTTTAAACATTAAGCATTAATTTTATAAAGTAGTCAAAAAAATTATTTTTTTGTTAAAATTTATTAGTTATTTTATTTAAAATAATTATTATATTTTTTTTTTGTATTTAATTACTACAACAACAACAACAACATAATAATAATAATATTAACTAAATAAATACAGTTTAGTTTCGGTAACCAATCGTATGCACAATGGTTTTGAAATGTTATCCTATTTCTGGATGAAAGAGTGGACTTTCCGGTCGCAAAATACCCGATCATTACTTGACTGGTTAGCCCAGAGATCACCAAAAGATTTTAATGATTACCCGTTTGATGTATCGGTTGTCAATTGGCAAGTGCTTGCATATAACTCATGGTTAGGTGGGCGCCGGTATCTATTGAAAGAGGACGACAGTAATATACCGATAGCCAAGCGCCGGCTCACTAAGTATTATAAAGTTATCATTATATATATATATATATATATACTAATATATATAATAATATATATACTAATATCAGGGTTAAGTAAGGGGGGGGGGGTAAGGCCAAAATACCCCCCCCCCTAAGATCGAAAAATTGGGATTTTACCCCCCCCAGACTTTTTGACCAAATTGAAAAAATTGTCGCTTAAAAACGAGGAGAAATGACCCCTCCCCTAAAATTTCGGCGCCGAAGGCGCCGAAAATTTTTTTGAAATTTATAAAAATTTTAATTTTAGTTGATACTATTTTAGTAAGTGTTTTTATGTTTTTAATATTTATAAAAATCTAATTATTGATTAAAAATAGTTAAAATAACGTTAAAAGTCATCAAAAAATAACATTATTTTAATTAAAATAAACTAAAAAATTAAAAATTACCTATTTGTTGAAAAGAGTAATCATATTACAATTTAAATATAAGTTTAAGAAGTTAATAAAACAATAAATACTTATGTTTTTATTAATAATTTTTAAATTTTAAATAAAAAATTAAAAAATATTTTCAATTTTGTACTTAATATAATTAAACTTTAACGAAATTTGAGTTAAATAAGTAGTATTCAGTCAGTATTTGTATAAAAATAAAAATATATAACAAACTATAAACATTAAGTATTGTTTAAAAAATTAATTATGTTAAAAGTTAAAAATTATTAAAATACTAAAAATAACTCATAGTGTATCATTAATGCTTTTATCAACTATTTTTAAATCTTAAATACATTATTTTATTTTTTTTTTGTTAAAATTTAAGTTTTTATTAATTTAAAAAAAAATTTTTAAAAAATATTTATTTTTTGTTAAAATTTAAATTTTTGTTAATTTTTAAGTTTTTTAAGTTTTTTTTTATATTTTTGGAAATTTTACCTATTTTCCCGGGAATTTATACGGGAACTTGTGGGAATTTTATTGAATTTACATGGGAATATTCGGGAACTTAAGGAATTTTTAGGGAATTTTCTCTAGACCCCCCCCCCCCCCCATTTTGGATTTTTGAAAAAATTGCCGTTTAAAAATGCAATAAAAATCTTACCCCACCCAATACCCCCCCCCCCCCCAAGATTTTTTGAGAATTTTGTAAATTTTACCCCGGTCTACCCCTCCCTAAAATCCAAAACCTTGCTTAACCCTGACTAATATATATACTAATATATATACTAATATATACTAATATATATATATATATATAATATAATATACTATAGTATTATTACAATAGTAAAGCTAATTAGTTAATTAATTAATTAATTATTTAATAGAAATTGATTAATATTTACAACTAATCATAGATAATTAAAAATTAAAAATAATATATAAAATTTTTAAAAATTATATTAATATTAATTATTTTTTTTACTATTGTTTGTTATTAGGATTATCTATGGCTATAAAATATTTTTGTTTCTATGGTATTCATCGCTTTTATATTTAGTATATTTAATTGTAATGAAAATGATTTAATTGTATTATATATATATTATTAGATAATTATTAAAATTGTTTTAAATTTTCTTTTTATCCAATATATTTGAAATGTAATAGTTTTTAATTAATTTTTTTTCTATTTTATCAATTGCTAAATATATATATAACGTTAATTAGATAAATTAAAAATATATATATAAATTATTATTAATATTTAATATATAAATTATAAATTAAAGTATTAATCAGATATTTAATTAAAAAAAATTGTTTAAAAAATATAATTTGTTAAATTTATTAGTAGATAAAAAATCATAAAATTTTTATTTTCAAATATAAGTAATTGTCCGAAAAACAAAATTATTATTATATTTTAATATACAGTTAAATATATCAAACTATTAGATTATACAAACAAACAAAATTATAGTAAAAATTATTAAACAAAAATTATTACAAATAAAAAAATTTACAAAAACAACAAAAAATAATACAAAAATAATACAAATTTTTATTTAAAAAAATATTTATATAACATATAATCATAAAATACAATTAAAACTTTTCATTGCAATTAGATAAACAATATATAAAAGCGATGAATACCATAGAAACAAAAATATTTTATAGCCATAGATAATCCTAATAAAAAAATAAATTTAAAAAATTAAATATAATTATGAATTAAATATTTATTTTAATCAATAACTTTTAGTTGAAAAATATTAATTAATTAGTTTCTAGTATTACTATAGTATAAAATAGTATATATACTGCATATATTAAATACAGTATATATATAGTTTATATACTGTATATATACTGTATATATATAGTTTATATACAGTATATATATATAGTTTATATACAGTATATATATATATAGTTTATATACAGTATATATATATATATATAGTTTATATACAGTATATATATATAGTTTATATACAGTATAATTTATATACAGTATAATTTATATACAGTATATATATTGATATAAATATATTAATACTTAGTTAGCCGGCGCTTGGCTTTCGGTATATTACTGTCGTCCTCTTTCAATAGATACCGGCGCCCACCAAACCATGAGGCCCGGGTCATTGCTGCCCAGTCGACAAGTGATACATCAAACTGGTAGTCATTAAAATCTTGGGGTGACCTCTGGGCTAACCAGTCTATTAACGATCGGGTATTTTGCGACCGAAATGTCCACTCTTTCATCCAGAAATAGGATAACATTTCAAAGCCATTGTGCATACGATTGGTTACCGAAACTAAACTGTATTTTTAATTATTATTATTATTATGTTATTGTTGTTGTAATAAATATAAAATAAAAATTTTTAAACTTTTAATTTTAAGTTTTTATCTAAATTAGATTATAAATTTCTATTTTTTATATATATAGTTAAAGTTTTTAATTATTTAGTTTTTAAATATTCTGAATAAATCTATTTTTAGAGTAATAATAATAATAATAATAATAATAAATTTAAATATTTAAATAATTTTAATATAAATAATACAAGCTGTAATTTTTTATATACACTAAATTAATATTAATCTTATATTATTATTAAGCAACTTATAGGTAGTTTCAGAATTTTTATTTATTTTTATAATTATGTTATAGTTTGTTGAAAGTAACTAAACATATCTATACTTTAAAAAACACAATTATTTAGTAAACAGTTTCTAACAATTAATGTTACTAAATAAGAAAAAATGTTTTTTTTATTAAAAACTTGAATTTTTTTTTAAACTACTAAATTATTAAATCTATTTTTTAAAATTAAATATAAATCTTTATATATATATATATATATAATAAAAATCTTATTAAAACAAATTAAATACATACATTGGTTTATGACCCAATAGCCAGATAATAGCATCGACCAGATAGGCAAACATCAGGTGCGATATCATCACTGTTAGCCAAACACGTAACCGGGAGGGTCTGGACTGGGGTATACCGGCATGCGGTCGGACCACTTTGATGGATGGACTGTCCTGTTGGGCCAATACAAACGATTCGACTACTTCGACTACTGCCGGTGTATTATGCGGTTCCGATGCCAAATGATAGATCTGTACATCCCGGGGACGGGTAGCTACCAGATGCCAAGCAGCGGCTACCAGTGCATTGGCAGTCATATCGGCCGGTATAAAACTGATATGTTTGTCGGCATCGTAGTCGGCAATACGCATAATCCCCAGCGAACCTAACAGTGCAATACCGGTAGCACCGTTAAAGTTGTCGATCCAACCGGGGGTCGGGTCCTGATAGGTAGGCAGGACTACCGATGGCCGGACTATGGCTACTGGCAGACCGTCGGGTCGGTCACGATGAACGATATGTTCGGCCAGTGCTTTGGCAAATGTATAGCAATTGGGTCGTCCCTCTAGTAGTGGTTCGGTATATCTATAAAATATATTTATATTTTATATAAAAAAATTTTATATTATATAAGTTATATAAACGAAAACTGATAATAATTTATTTGCTAATTTTTATTAATATCAATCAATAAAAAAATATCTAATATTTAAAAATTATTGTAAAAAATATATATTTTTAATAACAATATATTAATAGATTTAAATATATTATAATTTTTTAAAAATAAGTAGTGTTTGATTAGCAACTATTCATAGATAACTATTAGGATAATAAACTTATAATTTATTATATTTAATAAATAGTTTACAGTCTTATTAATTAAAATTTTTATAAATGTATAAAATAAAAATTATAGTTATTATCAAATATTAATTAACTAGCTAATTAATTAAACAAAAAAACAAATAAAATTTAATTAAATTAAGCAAACATTTTTAAATAAATAAAATTTTTAAAAAAATAAAATAAATTCTAAATAAATTATAAGTAAAAATTGTTAATTAAAAATTAAATTATTTATAACAAAAAAATTAACCTGGTAAGTTCTTTATCGTTCATAGTTTCTACGGCATTGATGACCTCCTCGGGCGACACTTTCATCGGATATATACGTTCCTCTAAGTCCGAGTGCTGGCAAAAAGCATAGGCAGTCGACACATGTACCAGTGCTTCAAGGGCTAGACACTGGCGGCACAGTTGGGTCATATATTTTGTACCGATCAGGTTATGTGTAACGGCATCCCTAATTGTCTCGTTGAACTTGACATCGCCGGCCACATGAAAAATGATGGCCACTTTCTGGACAAGTAGTTGTCTATCTGACTCCTACAGTCACCCACACCGACAACCCACACACACCCGACCCGAAAAAAAATATATAAGTATTACTAGGATTTTGATAGTTTTATTGTATGTTTAGTCTGTAGTCTATACCTTAAGTCCCATTCCTTCAACTGATAGATCGCCATCAATGGCCACCACTTTCTTACGTATGGTATCGACATCCAGACAAAAGCTAAACAACTTGGCCTCCAGAACCCTATCTAACCGTTCACTAACCGACAGTCCTTTTTTCGTACGTATTAATACATAGATTTTGTCAATGCCTGGACAGGATCGTAATAACTTTTCCAATAGTACCTGGGTTAATTTTTATTATTTAAAAAATAAATAAAAGTTTTCATGTAAATATTTAATGTTTTTAATTAATTAATATTATTTAATATTTACTAATTATTATATGATAGACTATCATTGATATTCATGTTTTATAATACATATATATAAATATATAAAGTATACTAATATATATATATTAATAAAATGTGACATTAAACTAATTATAACAGATTAATAATAAATTTTATTTAATTTTTTGTTGATTATATTATAGATTATTATTTTATTTTATATTTGTTTTGCAATTACTGTATTGGATATGATATATACTGTATATATATAATAGTTTAAGTAATCCTATACTAAATAATAATAAAAACAACACATGAACTTAAATGACCCACTATTTAATGTTAGTTAATAAAATTATAATAAATATTTTAAAATATATTTTATATATATATATACCACTTTCACTTAAATAGCCATTAGCTATTTTATTTGTAGATAATATTTTATTATATATATATTATTTTATAATTATTTATTTGATTAGATTTTATTTTTTTTAAGTGAACTAAATTAATATAAATTGCTATTTAATATTTATATATATATATATATATATATATATATATATATATATGCATAGTTTTCATTGTCAAACATATAATCTAATTTTTTTTCATGAATATTAATTTTTTTAAAGTAAATAAACAAAATAGAAAAAAATATTATAGATTTCTATTATTTAAAAAAATACAAATAAATTTTAGATAATAATAAATAATTTTTATTTAATACTTAGATAAATCTATTGAAAAATCTATAAATATATAATATTTTAAGCTAATTTTAATACAAATTATAATAGCAATTTTTTAAGATAATATTTTACTTATTTTGTAAACTTAATTAATATTAATTCATATTTAAATTATATTTTTCATAGTCACACATAATTGTATTTTTTATATAATATATATATATATATATATTTAGTAAAAATAGATTTCAATAAATTATAGATTTTTATTATCAAAATTTAACTAACTTTCAAATAATAATAATATAAATAATTTCTATTTAAGCAGTCTATTTAAATACTATATATAAATTTTTAAAACTATTTTTAAATAATAATATAAATATAAAAAATACAATACCTTTCCGATAAATCCGGTGACACCGGTAATAAAAACTGACTTTCCATTAAAATATTCACTTATTAATGATTTTTGTTGCATTTTATTAGTAATTTATATTATTAATAATTAATTAATCAAAAAAAATTTTAAAATAATAATATTAAAATTATTTAACTATTCAAAAATTTAAAAAAAAAACTATATTATATGATATATATATATTTAAATCAAAAAATAATATTATTATTTATAGTGTATATATATATATATTTATATAAATAATTTTGTAATTCATATAAATCTTGACTAAATAAATAAATTTAATTAAAAAAAACTTTAACCACAATTCAAATATAATTATAATCACATATTTATTGATTAAATAATAGAGTTAATAATAGCAATAGTCATACATTAATAAACACACATTAATTATAAACAAAAATTAGAGACCAGTTATCATAAAAACATATACAATAATAGTTTTGACAAAAATATTTATTTATTTAATTACGTCATAATAAATTTATTATAACAATTAATAATATAGTCCATTGATTTTTTTTAATAAAACAATTTTATTTTCAATTACTTATATTAAATGATAAATTATTATTATTATTATTAAAATTATTAATAAACTCAAAATTTAGATCAAATAAATTAATTTTGTATAATTATTATTAAACGATTATTATTACTAAATAAGTTTATTATTATAATAATGATAACATTTTTTAAAAAAGTTAAAAGCTTTTTTAATTGTGTATTATTTAGTAAATATTTTTAACAAAATAAAAAAACTGATCACATTATGACAAATAAATTTTATTAATTAATTTTTTCTCTTTATATAAAACTTATATTAAATGTAAATATGATTTTAAAAAACTGTTTAAAAAAAAGTTATTTAAGTAGTAAAACATTTTTAAAAAACATCCACAAAAAAATCACACAACAAACTAATTGTTGACTTTGTTTAGTGTAAATAAAATATTATTATTATTTTGGAGGAAAAATTCACAACAAAAATACGTGATTTAATTATCGATGAAAATTTTTTTTTATATAATACAAAAATATTTATTTTATTTTTTTTAAATATCAAAAAAGAGAGGATTATGTGTTTTACTTACAGTTGTAGTATATTGTAGTTATAATATAAACATGTATTACTAGATTTTCAGATAAATAAATAAATATTTTTTAAAACATTGTTAATAATAATAATAATAATAATAATAATAATATATTACTATTACATAAAAAGATCAAAAAATACTGTAATATATTATAGTAGAAAATACATACAAAATATTTTGATGTCATATCTTATTTTATGTAGAGTTTTACGATAAAATAAAATATAAATTATTAGTAAAAATAATAATTTAAATGCATATTAGTTGCGAAATTTTGCTACAAAAATGATACATAAATCTAATGACATGTAAAATATGGGTCAAACTCTCTCTCTCTCTCTCTCTCTCTCTTTCTCTCTCTCTCTCTCTCTCTCTATCTCTCTCTCTCTCTCTCTCTCTCTCTCTCTCTCTCTCTCTCTCTCTCTCTCATAACATTCACTTTCTTTAAAAAAATTAAAAATTATTTAATGTTATTATCAAATAAAAAACCAGTTTTTTAATTTGTCGACTCATTAGTGTTGAATTAATTTTTATTTTAAATAATTTTGTTGTTGTTTTGTTTGTTTATTTAATTATATATTAAATATTTTTGCCCATAAAATCATCGACAAAAAATGTGATTCAATAATAATAAAAAAACAAATCAAATAATTAATTGAATTAAATAAATAAAAAATGACATTAATTTCATTAAGCAATTTAGACAATAATAAATATTTAAAACCAAAGTCTAATATACTTTATAAATAATAATAATAATAATTTTGTAACAGTTTTTTGTGTGTTTTAGTTAATTCAATACATACTTATATGATAATACAATAATAGTTTTAATATTTTTTTTTGTTAAACAATATACAAAATTTATATATACTGGTATATATATATATTTATATTATTTTTATATGTAATAGTGTATATACAGTATATGTAAAATATTTTTAAATAGCTAATATTGTATTATATATATATATATATATATATATAACTAATAATAAATATCTATTGAGTGGATTGAACTAAAATTTTTATTTTTTTAAAACATTAACCTAGACATTTTTGATAATAATAATAATAATATTTTATCCTAATAAAATTTGTTTTAATAAATTCTAGTTTTTATGTTTTAGTTTTTTTTATAGTTGTTATTAATATGTGTTAGTTTTTTAGTAATTTAGTAAAAATAATTAATAAAAAATTCATTGTCATAAAAATTAGTTGACACATTTTTATGTTAAATGCATAAAATATTTATACATATATTTATGTAGATATAATTAATATATATATATAGTATATTATTATAGATTTTAAAATACTATAAATTTTTAATATGAAAGTAAATAAATTCATAAATAATAAAATTTAGAATAATATCAAATATTATTAATTTTTTAAAAGTATATAAATATAATTTTAAAGTATAACATTTATTAATGAAAATTTCTATAAAAAAATAATACAATATAATTTATTTTTTAACTTTAAAATAACTTTAAAAATTAAAAAACATAGACTTATTAAAAAAATTTTTGTTCAATTTAAAATAATAATTTAGATTTAAATTATAAAACATAAAATTAAAAACTTTACTAACAATTTTGATATAATATTGTAAATAATAATAATAATAAAAATTATTTAAATAATTTACTAAATAATAAAATCAAACAATAAGTTTAAATACTGTTATAATATCTTATATTAACTATTCATACGATACATTGGCAACAATATCTCCGCCGTCGGCCACAACAATACTGCCGGTTATAAACCCGGCCTCACTATCACTGGCCAAATAGGCAACAGTATAGGCAATATCCTGACTCTGGCCAACCCTACCGACCGGATATTTCTGGCCAATATTACTGTATATTTGGCCGATTAAATCTTTCGGCAAATCAAATATAGTCATAAAGTTGGTGTCAACAGCTCCGGGACTAATTAGTTCAACAAAAATAAAAATTAATTAATTAAAATTGTATTTAAAAAATAATATTTATATTAATCTATATAAATAAGTTATTATTAAATACAGTATTGCGTTAACTCTGATACGTTTGGGTCCCAACTCTGCGGCCATACATTTGGTAAACATATTGATCCCGGCTTTGGACATACAGTACGGGGAACTACCAGTAGATCCCTGTAAAATAATATTGCCGTTTGAAATAACTGATTATTTCTATGTATTTCTAGTATATACTGATATTTACTGATTTTTTTGATGCAATACTCGATATATTGATAATATTGCCCCGAGTTTTGGCCAAATATGGCACACATTTGTGTGTCATATATACCACTGAATTCAAATTGGTTTTCAATGCCAGCGAAAACTTTTCCATATAATCTGTGGCATCAATTGGCGCCATAATACCAGCGCCGGCATTGTTGACCAATATATCAATTTTGCCAAACGTTTGGACAGTTGTCTCAATCAGTCGATTGCAGTCCTCATCGTTAGTCAGATCGCCGACAACTTCCAGTGCTGGCAACTGTTTCGGCGAAACAACTGAACATTGTTTGGCCACTTTGGCCACAGCGTCAGCATTACGACCGGTAACTACAACATTGGCACCCGATTTGGCAAACAGTTGAGCAGTGGCCGCACCGATACCCGAACTCGAACCAGTTATCAGAGCTACCTTTCCGGTGAAATCATATTTAAGCGACATTTTGTTTTTAAATATAAATACTGTTTAGATATTAAATAAATATTTTTAAAAAAAATATTTGTGTTTTCTATTAAAACTTACTACAAATACTAAAATTAATATTGTAATAAAAATATTTGTTATTTTTTAAAATAATTTTTATGACATTGCAAATTTTTTTTAATTAATTAATACTGTATTAACATTAATACTAAATACTATTACTAAAAACAACATTATTAAAAAAAATTTAACTAACAAAAAATAAAATATAAAATTATAAACAAATAAATACATAGACTCTTAAATATTATTTATTTTATAATAATAATTTTTTTCATTTACATCAACCAAAAAAATATAATATAAAAAAATTTTAATAATTATTTTGTTAACATATTTGTAAATAATGTGTTTAACTATATTGTAAATTAAAAATTAAAATTATCTGTCATCTAAAGCTTTTTATTTAAAAAAAATTTAAATCTAATTATAATTTTTAAAAAAATTTTAGATTATAAAATTATTATTTAACATTTTATTAAATAAATTTAATTTTATTATCAAATAGTTTGTAATTTATAAATAAATAGTTTTTAATTAAATAATTAATTAAACAATTAATAATAATAATAATTATTATTTTGATATTAATATTCTAATATAAAATACAAACAAAAAAATATTTAAATATTTGCTAAATAATAAAACCAAACAACAAAACTAAAACAAAACAACAATAAGTTTTAATAATGTTTTTATTTTTAAATCCTAACTATTCGTATGACACGTTAGCGGCAATATCTCCGCCGTCGACCACAACCAGACTGCCGGTCATAAATCCGGCCGCCGTATCACTGGCCAAATAGGCAACAGTATTGACAATTTCCTGGGGCTGGGCAATCCTACCGATCGGTAATTTCAGGCCAAATGCTTTGTTTGTTTGATCGATCAACTCTTTCGGTAAATCAAATACAGTCATAAAGTTGGTGTCAACAGCTCCGGGACTAATTAGTCAAAAATAATTTTAAATTTAAATATATGATATATATCTGTATATATATTTATCAGTATATATATATATATATTTATCTGTATATATATATATATATTTATCTGTATATATATTATCTGTATATATATATCTGTATATATATACTATATCTGTATAAATATATTTATCTGTATAAATATATTTATCTGTATATATTATATCTGTATATATTCTAACTATATATATTATATCTGTATATATATCTATATATATATATATATATCTGTATATATATTTATCTGTATATATATTTATCTGTATATATATAACTGTATATATATATCTGTATATATTATAAGTAATTAATTAAATACAGTATTGCATTGACTCTGATATGATGTTTGGGTCCCAACTCTGCGGCCATACATTTGGTAAACATATCCAGTGCTGCTTTGGATACACAGTAAGGAGATTCAACTGTAGACTAGATATTTATAAATTTTATTTTTTTACAAAAATATAAAAATTAGTATAACTTATATATTGTTTACTGATTTTTTTGATGCAACACTAGATATATTGATAACATTGTACATTGTTTGGCCACTTTGGCCACACGATCGGCATTACGACCGGTAATTACAACATTGGCACCCGATTTGGCAAACAGTTGAGCAGTGGCCGCACCGATACCCGAACTCGAACCAGTTATCAGAGCTACCTTTCCGGTAAAATCATACTTAAGTGACATTTTTATGTATAAATACTGTTTAGATATTAAATATTTATTTATTTAATATTCTTGTTTTCTATTAAAACTTTCTACAAATACTAAATAATAATATTGTATTAAAAATATTTAAAATTATCATATAATTTCTATGAGATTGCAAATTTTTTTAGTAAATTAATATTAACATTAAGACAACATTATTTATTAATTTAATTGTAATAAAATCAAACAACAATAAGATAAACAAAATTTAATATTATTTTATCCTAACTAAAAAAAATATCTATAAAATTATAATTTATTTTTTAAACATAATTTTAAATAAAAACATACTTATTAAAAAAAATTTGTTCAATTTAAAGATAATAATTTTTTAATTTAATTAATAAAATATAAAATTAAAACTTTACTAATAATTTTGATATAATGTTGTAAATAATAATAATAATAATTATTATTATAATTTAAATGTTTGCTTAACTAAATAAAAACCAAACAATAAGTTTAATACTGTTTTTAATATACGATATATTAACTAATCATACGAAACATTGGCCGCAATATCTCCGCCGTCGGCTACAACCAGACTGCCGGTCAGAAACCCGGCGGCCGTATCACTGGCCAAATAGGCAACAGTATTGGCAATGTCCTCGGGTTGGCCAACCCGACCGACCGGATATTTCTGGCCAATAGATTTGTTTATTTCATCGATAAGCTCTTTCGATATCTCAAATACAGTGTTAAAGTTGGTGTCAACAACTCCGGAACTAATTAGTAAAAAAATTAAAATAAATAAATAAATAATTATTAATATATATATATATATATACACAGTATATACTGTATATATATATATATATAATTAAATTAAGAAATACAGTATTGCGTTAACTCTGATACGTTTGGGTCCCAACTCTGCGGCCATACATTTGGTAAACATATTGACCGCGGCTTTGGACACACAGTAAGGAGATTCACCGCTAGACTAGATATTTATAAATTTTTTACAAAAAAAATAAATAAATATTATTATAACTTAATTTACTTATATTATTCAATGAAATAATATATATATATATATATTGTTTACTGATTTTTTTGATGAAACACTCGATATATTGATAATATTGCCCCGAGTTTTGGCCAAATGCGGGACACATTTGTGTGTCATATATACCAATGAATTCAAATTGGTTTTCAATGCCAGCGAAAACTTTTCCATAAAATCTGTGGCATCAATATTAAAATAAAAACCACTGCCAGCACTGTTGACCAATATATCGATTTTGCCAAACGTTTGGACAGTTGTCTCAATCAGTCGATTGCAGTCCTCATCGTTAGTCAGATCGCCGACAACTTCCAGTGCTGGCAACTGTTTCGGTGAAACATCTGTACATTGTTTGGCCACTTTGGCCACACTGTCAGCATTACGGCCGGTAACTACAACATTGGCACCCGATTTGGCAAACAGTTGAGCAGTGGCCGCACCGATACCCGAACTCGAACCAGTTATCAGAGCTACCTTTCCGGTGAAATCATATTTAATTGACATTTTTTAGTATAAATACTGTTTTTTTAGATATTTAATCTGAAATACAAGTGTTTTAGATTAATATTCCTGTTTTCTATTTAAAACTTTCACTAATATATATATACGAAATTAATATTATAATTGAAATTAAAATATTTGTTATTTTATTACCAATTTCTATGACATAGCAATTAAATACAATAAAAAACAACAAAATTATATGATATAGCATTTACAGTTAATATTGAAATAAATTTATTTTTTATTATGTTTTTTAATAGCATATAATCATAACTAATATATATAAATATTTATATTTATTATTATTACATATATTTTTTTCGAATATATATGTATATATACAAAAAAAACGATTACAAAGATAATAGTATATATATATAGTCTGTAAAATTGATAAATAATAATAATTATTATTATTATATTAATAATAATAAATTAAAATTATCGTTTATATTATATATTTTGTAAAAATAATGATATTTTATCTCATTATTATTATTATTAACAATTAAATTAACATTTTATGATAATCATCACCAGTAATCAAAACACTATTAAATGCTATCTCATTAAAAAATATTTTATAATTAATTAATTAATTAAATTAAATTTAGTACTTAAATATCAATAGTTTATAAAATAATATTGTTTGCTATTTAATAGATAATTATTATTTAGTTTATCCATTATTATCAATAATTAATGTTTTAATTATTTTTTTTTAAAAAAAACAAATATAAATTATGAAATTTGATAAAATAATAAAAAAAAGTTTAATATAAATAAATATCTGTATGTTTCAGTAGTTGTCTTAAATATTATAATATTTATAAAGTTTTATTATATAATTAATTTTTTTTAATTAAATTATATTTACATTTTATAAAATATATTGTATTTACTTATCAAAAAAAACAATAGTTATTATTATTATTAAATTACAAATAAATAGTAAAATATTATAATAAATTTAATTTTGTTATTATTATTATTATTATTATTTACTTTTTCACAGATGATGATGATTTCTATACAGAAAAAAAATATTTATTAAATTATCAATTTATATCATCAAAAAATAAAACTATAATATAATTATTATTATTATTACATACAATATTAGCGGGAAAAACAATTTCAACATTTTTCAGCTCTAGTTTCGTTTTTCTCGGATGATTACCATAGTATATGACCCGACCCTTACACGAGTGTCTCTAATAATAATAATAATTATTATTTAATAAAATTTTAAATTAATTTAAAAAAAAATAGATTTCCTAAATACATACTCTAACCGGACAGTCCTCATGACTGTATGGTATGAATACTTTTTTACGAAAATTATTACTCAGCAGGAGTTCCTCGGGAACCGATATCGGAGATAATTTTTCCGATAAATCAATTGAATAGTTATCGGTCTGTAAATTAATTTAAACAATAAATATATTACCCCAAAAAAATATGTAAAAATAATTATATTGTAATTTTGTAAAAAAAATTTAAATAAATAAAAAACTAACTAACCTCGGTTAGATAATGTGTACTTGATAATTTTGGTTTATTATTATTATGATTATGATTATTATTACTACTAGTAGTATTATTATCATGATGATTAAAATTATTATTATCAACTTGATTCCAGGCAATTTTTAGTTGACTATTATTATTACCTTGATAATTTTTATAATAATCATCATTATCATTATTATATTCTACTATACTACTACTACTATTAACATCACTAACTAAATCATCATCATCATCATTGATTGTTTCAATTGTAGCTAGTGAATTTTGTGAATCTAATTTATGAGATAATTGACCATGATCATTATTAAATAAATTGTCCAAGTTCATATCACTTATTGTTGTTGTAGTACTAGATGATGATGATAATAAACTTAGATCCATATCAGTAGCACAACTATCTATATCATCCTCATTATTATTACCGGAAATTTTGCTCAAATTTTTCTGGGAATATTCCCGGGAATTATTCATATTATTGTTATTATTATTATCTGAAATATCTACTGAATTACTTAGCGATTGACGTAACAGTGCTATTGTTTTATCTTTATCCCGATTAGCCGATTGTTGTATATCTAGCTCTGACCTAATTTTTTCCATTAGTCCACGTTGTTGTTCGACCAGTTCCCTCCAGGCTCTCAGCTCATCATTCAGATACTGTTCCTTAAAACTGTTAGTAGTAGTAGTACTAGTAGTAGTGTCTGTACCAGTAATTATGTTATTATTATCAATAGTATTATCAATAGTTTGTTGGTATAGTTGTTGTGTAGGTTGTTGACTATCCTAATAGAAACATAAAAAAAATCAAAAATAATTTTAATTAATTAATTAATTAATAAAATAGAAATATATATTTGATATTAATTTTGTTTATATAAAAATAAAAATAATTTTTTAAACAAAAATTATTAATCCATATTTTATACTATAAGTTATAGTTATATATTATAGTTATATATACAGTATATATATAATAAATAATAATAATTTTATTTAAAAATAATTACTTGAATTATGATTGCATCGGATTGTTGGCCACCAATAGTCGACTGTTTGCCAGACATTATCATTACAGGACTTGTTGGCTGACTATTGATAATAATGATGTTGTCTTCGGATGAGACAAAATCTGAATCAATTGGCGACTGTTGTTGTTGTTTGGTATTGTCGTTGTCATTGTCATCATCGCTGATAGACCTGCTGTGTCGGTGATGATGACGATCGGACACTGTCGTCGCCGATGATGATTGAGATAGCGATTGTTTATCATCAATGCAATCATGATTATGACTATCAGTAGTATTATCTACTAGTCTATGGCCATCACTGTCCTCCATATAGCTATAGTCATCATCATTATTATGTTGATTATTATTATTATCGTTATTATTATTATTATTATTTACATGTATATCACTAGTAGTAATATCGGCAACTATTTTATCTATAATATCATTAAGCAATTGTTCGACAATTGCATATAAATTTATATCATCATTATTATCATCAATAATATTAGTGGTATTATTAATGCAGATATTTTCTGCAGTTTTCAATTGAATGTCATTATTATTATTATTATTGGGATTATCTTCAAAAACTTCGTCGTCGTCGTTGTCGTCGTAGTCATAATCGTTGTCTACAGAGTCGTTGGCATTGCTATAGTCAGCCATTTTATCTTCAATCTCCAGTTCCTCCTCAACCACCCCTTCCTCCTCCTCTTCCTCCTCCTCTTCCTCGACCTCTTCAACCACTTCCAGATGTGATTTCAAACTAAACGGATTAGCCATTAGTATATAGTTGAGTGTTTCGATGTCAAAGTGATGATCGCCTCCTCCGCCATCAGTAGTCGGACTGTCCATCACTTTGTCGTCATAATCGTTAGCATCTAACTGGACATCCCTTTCCTTTCTAACTAATGGACTGTTTGGTTGGTTATGGCTAATGGCTATGTCATCGCTTGTCATCATCACATGTTGCCGACCACTACCACCAGTGTCTTCGCTGAAAACATCAGGTATGAGCTGATCATCATTGGAGGATAAGATGCCGTCCTTATTAAGTGATAGGCCAACAATGTCATTGACGGCAGCACTGGTAGTTATTTTACTACTACTACTACTAGTATTTAATTGGTGACACCATTTCAATTGATTACGATATGACTGGACGACACTGTTTTTCAAGGCTTCAAAATACTGGGAATACTCCGGTAGTCGATAGTTGTATAGACAATCGTATCGTTGGCTAAATTTGTCGACAACACGTTCAATACTGCGCTCATCCCTACCCAATAACTCCAGTTCCACTTCAATATCACCGATCAATTCGATTAGTTCCATAATATAGTCTTCATCGGCAGCCAACCGTTCCCGGAGCTGATTGGTATCGCCAGTCAATCGCAAATTACTTGATATAATATGGGATATCCTATGCTTTATCCGATCAACAATACTGTCCTCATTATTGCTGCTATTATTACTATTATCGGGCACAGGTATGTCATTTACTATACACAGTTCCTCTAAATATGTTATCTAAAAAAAAATCAATAATTAAAAATAACTTTTAGTTAATATTTTAAAAATTAAAGAAAATAAATTAATTAAAATACAATTTTTGTAAATTTTTGATTTTCATCAATTAGTTTATCGCATGTTTCCTGCAATTGACTATATTTTGTGCTCAACTCCCGGTGCTTGATATCCATGTCCACCATATTATTATCAGTACTACTACTACTAGTTTGAACAATATTTTCCTGTAATAGTAGTATATGTTGATTATCATTGAGATATTGATTGATTTGTTTAACCAATTGAACAAATTGTAGTAAATATTTGCCAAAATTATCGGCAAATTCGACAAATAATTGTTGAGAATTTTGGGAATATTCCCAATACTTTGATTGTAATATTTCGGAAACTTTTCTGGATTTTTCCAGTATATCTTCAAATTCATTGTTCAACACTTTTGAATCAGTCTGTACTTTAATATCATTATTATTATCACTAAATCTAGTATTAGTTTTGTCATTACAGGCATCACCAGTACTACCACTACTACTACTACTACTACCACTATTGTCTACAGAGAGCACCGATATCTTGGGTGATGTGATCATCATTGATGGCAAGGAAGAGGAGGTACTGGTAGTGGACAGCCGTTCCTGTAGTCTAACAATTAGGTCATCCTTTCGGCACATCAGTCGACTATGTTTTTGCAAAACACGTGTCAACTGTAGATAATTGTCTTTCAATATTTGGTTTTCAATTTGCAATTTCTTATTGTCATCGCTTTGCTGGGAATTATTTATGTAGGCATTGAGCACCGGTACCATTGATGATGATGATGATGATGATGATGGTAAGCTACATAAGCCACTACTACTACTACTATTACCAGCTCCCGGTTGCTGATGTCGGCTATCATTAGCACTGGTAGTGATGAATAACGACTAAAATAATATACACACAAAAAATAATAATATTTTTTTAGTAAAATTTTTAAAACTGATAATAATATACCTCATTGTTGGACAACAAGTTATCACCACTTGTTGTTGTTGATGATGATTGAAATAACCTATTATTTTCTCTACCATTACTAGTAGTAGTAGTAGTAGTAGTTGTAGTATTGTTACCATAATTGTTACCAATAGATGATAATTCATTTAATAATAATAAAGATTTTTGTTGACTAACTTTCCTATCAATTACTAATTGAGGTGTTGTTGTCGATGGTATAGTAAATGAATAATCAAATGATGAACTTCGCTGAAACAGTTGGGATCTGCTATTACCACCACTACTACTACTACTACTACTACTACCAGCACCGGTAGCTGATGTTGTTGTTGTAGATAATAATGGAGGAAATCGTGATGAACTTGGTCTGGGATTACTACTAATAATGTTGTGGTTATCCATTATTATCTAGATTTTTATAATAATAAAAATAATAATTATTTTAAAAAAAAATTTACATAAAATAATAATTATTGTAGAATTTTTTTTCAGATATTAAAATTTATAAAAAAATAAATAATTTTTTGTTCACTTATAATATTATTATCATATTGTTATTGTAGATGTAAAACATTTTTTTTGTTGTATAAATATTGATTTTTTTCTAATATTAAAATAATAAAACTAATTATTTAAAAAATAGTAAATTATTGTTTATTTTTATACTACTACTACTACTACTACTACTACTACTACTACTACTACTACTACTACTACTACTACTACTACTACTACTACTACTACTACTACTACTACTACTACTACTACTACTAATACTACTACTAATACTACTACCACTACTACTACTACTACTACTACTAATAATAATAATAATAACTAGTATAATATTACCTATAAATATTGTTGTCATATTAATTTATTTTGTAAAAAAACAACAACAACAATATCATTAACTTATTTTTATAAAAAAATCATTAATATATATACAGTATATACGATATATAGTTTATAGTAATAATAACAATAAGTTATATAATAATTACACTATTTTTAGTATTATTATTATTACAATATTAGGAATCAAATAAATAACTATAATTAGAAAATACTAAATACTTAAATGCAATATTAAATTATTTTTAAAAGCATTTTTTATTTGATTATATTATATATTAAAAAAAATTGCTTTTAGTGTTCAAAATATGAATAAAAAACATTTATTATTATAGCGAATATATATTTATTTATTTATAAATTGTAAATAACTATTAATAAATATTAATGTAAAATATATTAAGTACTATATATTTATTTATTTTTCGTTTTGTATTTATATATAAAACAATAATAATAAAAAATACTAAGTATACTAAAAATAGCAATTTTTTTGTTATCATTATTATCATCATCATCACTGTTAACTATTGTTTTGTTGACTACAACCCTGTAATCAACAAAATAAATAAAAAAGAATATTTTTAATGTAAAAATACAATTTAAGTAAATTACATATAAAATATAAAGTGTTATATAATATTCATCTATAATAGTATAAAATGTCATCAACAAAAAAAAAACAATTCAATTTGTAATACATAACTGTATTAATGCTAAAAATAGATGGAAAATATATATATAAATTATATTATTATTAAAAGACTAACTCATATATAATATATACAATTTTGCTGTCAATAACTATAGGGAAAAAAATGTTAGATTTTTAATATACAGGTATATTATACAGTATTGTTATGTGATATATATATATATATATATATATATATGATATATGACATCATTGACTTCAATATATATATATAAATTATATATATATATATGATTATTATTATTATTAGTATTGGGCTAACAATTCTAAGTATACTTTAATAAACTTTTTTTTTGTTATATAAAGAATATTCTGTAATTTAATGGAAACAAAAAAATAATAATCATATATATATAAATATATGAAATAATAAAATTCAAATTAATTATATGTTAATCCAATTTCCTCTCATATATTAGTTTATAAATACTGTATATAATGTAATAAAAAAATTGTTATATATAACTTTTAGCATAAAATAATTTTAAAAACAAATTACAGGAAATATAATATATATATTAATATGAAATCATGAAATATATATTAATAATTTTATTTAAGTTTCACACCCAAAACTATATACATTATATATATGCTGTATATATATATATATATATATATACTGATAATGTATTTAATAATTTAATACACAAACACAATGATATACAACAGTACAGTAATGTTTTGATTTCATGTAATTTTTTTTGAAAACACCTAATAATATATTCAATATATATATATAAATTTTTAATATTGATTTTTTATGATTACACAAAAAAAATAACATACTGTAATATATATATATAATCATAAAAATTGACATAAAAAAAATATTATCACTCAAACAAAATATATTATTGTACAATAATTTATCAAAATAATAATTATTAATTATTTGTTTTATAATTTTTATTTTATTTTTATTGTTTTAATTTCTAATGGCATTTAAAAAAATACATTTAAACATATATTAAATCTATAGTAAATTATATATCATTATTGATTTAAGTTTTATATAATAATCATTATTTTTATTTTTTAAACAAGTTTATTTTTATATATATTGTTATCTATTATTATATTTTTTTTGTAAAATATAATAAATAGATATTTTTTTCTGATATATTATATTTTTATTTTTCATAGAAAAATCTCATTAAATATTAATCTATTTAACATAATAATTTATTAATTTTGACATATTTACATTTTTTAAATAATAATAATAATGCTAAAATAAATAAATAAAATATTTTTAGAGAAAATTGTCTATTAAAAAAAACATTTTATAAACTACATTAAAATAATAGAAAAATAATTAAATAGAGTATATAAATTATTAATAATATATATTATTAACTAATTATTATAGTATTAATTAATTAACAGTTAATTTATAATAATTATTAAATAACTTTTTTTTTTAAAATCAAATTAATTAAATACATACCGGTTTTATAATTAGATTTTTTATTTAAATAATAAACTTGATATTTACACTATAATAATAATAATAATAATAATAATAATAATAATAATAATAATAATAATTTTGATGATAGTTTTAAAAATAAATAAATATTTTTGTTTGTAGTTGTTGTATACAGCATTATATAATAATAACAATTAATAAATTTTTATTTTTTTTTAAATTCAATATAATAAATACAATTTTGAATGTTAATCATATACTAGTTTTATATGTTAAGTGATGATTGGATATATATACTAGTATATATATATATAACTACTATAATACACATGAGATACCGGTGCCGGACAATACTGTCAATACCATCAAAACAAAAATATGGCAATAGGTATGTGCACTTAGGTATAATGTTTACTGTAAGTGTGTGTGTGTGTGTGTGTGTGTGTGTGTGTTTGAAATGTGTATGTCCTAATAAATGTGTGCACATGTAGTCTAATAAATATATAGTATATATATATATATTTTAATACTGTAGGTTAGGTTGTATTTTTGCACAGTTATAGTACAGTGTAGTAGAGATGGTAGTCAATGGCAATCATATTGATCAATGACTTACTGTATATGTTAAACATGTTTATCATTATTATTATTATTATTATTAGAAATATGGATATAGTATATTGAATATATACTGTAGGTATACATTATTAGGAATATATATACATTATATATATAACAATATTTATTTTAATTATATGTATTTAAGATATTGTAAAATTGTTAACTTTATTATACAATATTAACAAATAAGTTATATATATATTGATAGTTTATAATATTAGGTTAATTATTATGATACACATAATTGTTGTAATAAAAATAAGATTATAAGTATTTATTTATTTATTTTTTTGGATAAATTAATATTACATTGTTTAAATAAAATATAATAATAATTATTATTATTATAAATTTAATTCAAAATTACTTTTATTTATTTTAATTATTTATTTATTTTTATCATAAATTATTATCCAAGATATTTCCATTAAATTTAAAAATATTAATATTCCCATTAATGATATAATCTATATATAATAGATTTATTATAATCTAATAATATTTGTATTAATTATAATAATAATAATAATTTATAACAATATATCCATACAATATACCATGTAAATTTATTAAAATAAAATAATTTTTTAAAAAATATTTAACATAAATAAACTATAATAGATAATGTCTATTTATAATTAATATTGTTAGAATTATTATTTAAATTATTTAAATTATTAATTTTAGATAATTTTATAAAAATTTAATATTTAATAGCTTGAACAATTTAAATATAGCTACAAATTAATTGATTATTTTAAAATCACAGATATTATAGATTACAATATTAGTGTTAAAATTATTTATGAATAAAAAAAGTTTTTACATTAATGTTTGATTTAAAAAAAATAATAAAATAAAATATATTAAGTAAAGTAAATTTTTGTAAAACCCTAAATGAAAAAATCTTTTACATTAAATAAACTAAATTTACTTTATTTTATTTTTGTTTAAAATATAGACTTTATATTTGTTTTCAATTTGCACTTTATTATTAAACATAAAATCATTTAACATTTTTATAATATATAAAAAAATAAATAAATTATTAATTATTTCTATAAATTTATTTCAGTTAAAAAAATAATTGTAGTAAATGTCAAAATATTTTGTTTAACTCAATAGTTTTGTTATTGCAAATCAAATGTTTAAAAAATAAAATAAATCAAATATTAAATAAACTAAAATAAAAGTGAAAAATTAAAAAAAAACTTAAAAATATATGATATAATATAAATTGATGTCATTTTAAAAATATCTAATTTTAGATTTGTTTGTTAACCATTAATAACTTTAATAATCCAGTCCATATGCATTGATACCGATTCACCGCGCACCTGTAGATTACCATCTACACAGTTATTTTTGTCGGGTATGGGTCCAGTAGATGACTTATGTAGGCCAACCAAAACGGCACGATTTTGCCAATAAAGCCATAGACCAGCACCTGAGTCACCCTATTTTTTAAGTAAATACAATATCAAGTTAATTAGTATATTATAATATTAACTTAATTAAACTTAAATATTTTTTTTTAATAATTAATTATTATTTATTAAACTTTAGATTATTAAAAAAAATTATTAAAATATTATATATTATATTAGTATATATTATATATTAGTCACATACACATACACATACACATACACATACACATACACATACACATACACATACACATACACATACACATACACATACACATACACATACACATACACATACACATACACATACACATACACATACACATACACATACACATACACATACACATACACATACACATACACATACACATACACATACACATACACATACACATACACATACACATACACATACACATACACATACACATACACATACACATACACATACACATACACATACACATACACATACACATACACATACACATACACATACACATACACATACACATACACATACACATACACATACACATACACATACACATACACATACACATACACATACACATACACATACCTGTACTTACATCACACATTCTGGCTGTTTGATTTTTGGCGGCCATATGCAAAAATTCCGTACCATAGGTATCAAAGTAGGGTTGAATATCGCGCCTGCCTACCTGCAAGCCCTTGCCATGTATATCGCTGGCTCCGTAACCGGCAACATAGGCCGGCCACACATTGTCGCCATTGGTTACGTTAACGGGTGGCAAACACAGTGCGTTCACATCATAGTCACCTTTGTTGGCCGGTTGGTGCCGTCCAAACCGTATAGGAGTGTTCAATTTGATTAGTCCTATATCGTTGACGATTGTACTACCTTGCTGGTGGTATAGTGGATGCTGATAGATATGGCTAGAATTATAGCCAGTACCGTTTTCGGTCAATAGGGTCCAGTTCAATGGGAATCCCGATCCCGTATAGACGGTAACGTATTGTACATCACTAGAACAATTGGGTTAGTTTTTTAATTAATTAAAAAATAAATCGTGTTTTTTTAAAACTTACGAACTAACACAATGGCCAGCCGTAATAATCCACAGGTGCCCGATAATTGAGCCAGAACAATAATCAATAGCCGTTTGATTATCTCTAAAAAAATTAAGTTTTTTAATTATACGCATACACATGCGCGCGCGTGCGTACAGTTAAAATAATTATTTTTGTTTTGTTTTTTAAAAAAAACGTATTACAATAATTACGTTGACAATAATAACAAATTACGTTAATAATAATAAATTACGTCAACAATAATAAATTACGTCAACAATAATATTAAATTACGTACTGATCTAAATAGTATAATTTGAGCAGGACTGCCCATGGTGCATCGCCGGCACTGGCATTGTGTGCCTGGGACAGTTGACTACCACCACCACCACCGAGGCTATGGTTAAGGTGCAATGGGAAGCAACCGTTGTCATCGACACGCTGGTTACCGGCTCTACCGCATTCCTGGACGGTTAGGTTATGGATGTACGGTATGGATGGCCACCATTGACTTGAAATTATTGTCACAAATAGTAATTGTATGGACAAACAAATAGATATTGATTTTACTAGATTAACAAGCATTATATTTTTTTAATAGATTTAATTTTTTAAAATTATTATTATTATTATAAATTGTTAACACATATATTTTAATAAAAAAAATATTTTTATTAAATTTATTGTATCTTATTGTACACTTAATTTTATATATATAATAGTATTGATTACATGTAGAAATTCAATATTATTTTGAATTATTATTTTTTCAGATACCTTTATAAATAATTTTTAATACAGTTGTTATTTTATAAATAAAAAATATTTAATACATAATAATATAAAATATCTAATTTCAAGTATTATTTTTTTAAAAAAAACAATAATTTTTATTTTCCTAAATTACTTATTAATTTTATTATTAAAGTAATATCAATTATAGTTGATATAAAATATTTTTCGATAATTTAATACTATTAATAAACAATACAGTATAGAGTATAAGTGCCTAAAATTTTTTAAAAAATAATTAAAAATTATTATTATAGTAAATTATTATTTTTTTAAAAAAAACTTACCATGCAACTATTAAAATTATCAAGCTGAAATAATCGCCAACAAGTAAAACCCAACGATTTTTTATGAGCCCTTTCCATAGCAGTCATTAACTTTTTTGTGAAATAAAAATTAATATAAAAAAATAATTATTTTTTTAATATTTCATATATTTTTACTAATATTTATTAAAAAATAAATTAATAAAATACTAACTTTTAATTGCAATAATAAATGTTTATAATTTCTAAACAATATCGACGACAACTGATAAATATTTAACTGATTTAGTACTGTATATGACGACTGGCTATTGTTAACCTCCCGGTGCATACAGGCACCTGAGTATAGGGTGACCAAAATAATTGTGTCCACCAATAATAATAAACTAATTACCACTAACTTAGTTGGTAATTGTGATATTGTTGCAAATAATACTATATAGTGACCAATTAGACTAACAATTGTTAACAATATTAATACACCCATAATATAGGATGACCAATAAGTTAAATTATAATCGTTAATTTCCATATAAAATTTATTAGAATTTCGCAATATTTTCAACATGTTAATTTGTTGATAATTTAAACGTTTAATATTGCTATTAATATTATTATTATTACTATAACCAAAGTCAAAAATAACCATGTTCAGTTGTCTAGATTTTAATTTCAAATACAAACATTGAACTAATAGATAGGCAAGTTGCCATAGATTTTGATTGATCATATAGTAGATGGCCAGGCTAGCTAATAGTCTAGTGGACAGGTATGCAAGTACAGAGTACCAGTTTTCACTAGTAGGCATACTAAGCATTAGATTGTTGGCTACAATAAACATACCTATCGGGACTAGTAGTTTATTTATTATGGTATCGGTAAATGTAAATATCCGACGGCAAGTGGCCAGTAGTCTGCGGACAGCTGATTGGTCGGTTAGACCGATATGATTGGGTGTTAGGCCGCCAGCACTACCAGCACCACCACCACCACCGGCTAATACTTGAAATAATTGCATAAATTTTGTGTCTATTCGATACCAATTGACATAATAGTAAACTGATTGTTGCCATAGTGTAAAAATGGTCCACAATATCAATGCTAGTTTTATTAGACAATTTGTTGTTTGACCATGGTGATCATGATTATCTACTAGTTCAGCAATTGACCATGTTTGTTGAGGAAACACTAGTTGAAGTAGTAGTGATATAATAGTATGTATTAAATAGACTATTAGGACACTAGTAGTCAATATAGGTTTGAAATACCAGTGCCGTCTAATACTAGTAGTAGTAGTAGTAGTAGTTAATTGTTGTAGTCCTACACAATATAATTGATTCAATGCCGGCTTAAATCTCAATGTTTTTGGCAACACTTGATAACAATTGATGTTTAATTTTGTTGTAAGCATTGTTTGTTTGTTTGTTGTTGTTATTATTATTATTAAATATATTCACAAAATTAAAATTATTGAAAACTATTTTTTAAAAAATGTAAATTAGATGTTGTTAATTATATATATAAATAAATATATTTAATTTATTGTTAAACTAAACACATACAATATTTGATTATAAACTTAATTATAAAATATATATTTTTAATATTATAGTTCAAGCACATTTTTTGATATTTTATACAATGAACTTAATTAACATTATTGAAAAATTAATTATTAGGAAATTTATAGACAGGTTATATATATATACAATAATTAATATATATATATATATAAAGTGTACTGTACTATAGATGTACTATAATAATAATAATTATTATTATTATTAAATATATTCACAAAATAAAAACAATTGAAAACTTTTATACAGTATTTTATTTTAAAAAAAAATAAATGTAAATTAGATGTTAATTTTATATATATATATATATATAAATATATTTAATTTATTGTTAAACTAAACACATATAATATTTGATTATAAACTTAATTATAAAATATATATATTTAATATTATAGTTCAAGCACATTTTTTGACATTTTATACAATGAACTTAATTAACATTATTGAAAAATTAATTATTAGGCAATTTATAGACAGGTTATATATATACAATAATTAATATATATATATATATATAAAGTGTACTGTACTATAGATGTACTATAATAATAATAATTATTATTATTATTAAATATATTTTATTATAGCATTTTAATTATTAACTATATATATGTCTACCTGTATACTTTATAATAATTATATATATATATTTCTACATATATCCTAGATATCTAATTATTATTTAATTATTATTATTTTTTAATATAAATTATATACTGTATATTGCCAATATCGTGTACAGGTATTGTTGAAACATTGGCTAATATACTGTACAATATAATAATCAGCTAATAATAGAAAATATAATTATATATTATTTTAATTATATATAGATTTTTAATAATTACATTAAATTATATATTTATTTTTAGTTAATTAATGGCAAAAAATTTGACTGATTGTGAATATATTAGACTATATAAAAAATATATATAATTATAATTATATATATAAATGTATAATGTGCTTTAATTAAAGATTATCAAGTACAATAATTTAATTAATCTATTTATTAAAAATGTTAATGTTATAGTTAAAATTATATATAAAATTATATATAAATAGTTTAATTATATTTTTTTAATAGTTATTTAAATAAATTATTTTATTATATGAAATATTATAAATTATTTTTATTGATTATTAAATTTATATAAATATATTAATATTTCCATTTAAATATCATATTATTTGATATAATCATTAAAAAAATATCTTGTTGTAATTAATTTTAAAAATTTAATCTAATACTTTTAGTTACTGTACAATGAAAACAATATTTTTAAAAAAAATATTATTATAATATGTATAAATTGAAAATAAATATACAAAAATTAATATCATATCACATATCTTTATCATATATATATATATATATATATAATTTAATCCTATTATTATTCAATTATCATATATATATATACAGCAATAATTTAGTTAAATTTAAATAATTATATATATATATATATATATATTAGATTTCAATTTTAACAAAAAATTTCAATATACAAATTATATAGATGAACTAACAAATATAAATATATATAAATTGTGCTTGTTATTTTTTTTTAAAAATTTATTAGTTTTACACATGATTAACATTGCAGTACAATTAGCCTATCTATGGCCATGGCTATTGATGGTCGACCAGTTGATTATTATCCAGTGGTTATCAGCGCAAAAAAATATGCCGGTTTATATACCGGGTATAATACCGCAATCGTGCGGTCTGGCCGGCACCGGCCGTGTCGATGATAACGGCTGTTTTCCATTGCACCGTAACCATAGCTATGGTCAACTATCACTGGGACATAATGCCAGTTCAGGTGATGCACCATGGTCAGTATTGCTCAAATTGCAAGCTAACGATCCAAACAAGTATGTACTGTACATACATATGTTTGTAAATTATATGAATAAAATCTATAGAATAGTATTAGAAAATATTAATTAATTAATAATAATAATTAATAATAATAATTAATAATAATAATAATTAATAATAATAATAATTAATAATAATAATTAATAATAATAATTAATAATAATAATTAATAATAATAATTAATAATAATAATTAATAATAATAATTAATAATAATAATTAATAATAATAATTAATAATAATAATTAATAATAATATTTAATAATAATAATAATAATAATTAATAATAATAATTATAATAATTATAATAATTAATAATAATTAATAATTAAGTAATAATAATTAATAATTAAGTAATAATAATTAATAATTAAGTAATAATAATTAATAATTAAGTAATAATAATTAATAATTAAGTAATAATAATTAATAATTAAGTAATAATAATTAATAATAATTAATAATAAATTAATGTTAATTTTTCAAAATATATTTTAGTATTTTATTATTTTTATACATACATATAAATTTAAATATTATAAAATAAAATATTATGCCCTCTGTATTAGTGTGTATTACTAACAATAATAATATCTGTACCCTAACACCCCACCCCCAAAAAATAGCAACGAAACCTATTATGACTACTGTTCCGGCACTATTATCGGCTATCAATGGGTAATTACTGCCGGCCATTGTATGGGCGAACCAGGGTTAGTATTCAATAGTTATAAATAATAATAAAAAACAACAACGAAAAAATAATCTAATTTATATTACACACAAATACATAGACACATACACACACATACAAATACATACACACACATAAACACACACATAAACACACACATAAACACACACATACAAACATACATACACTCACACATACACAAACATAGTCACACATACACACACACACACACACATACATACATACATACAAACATACATACATACATACATACACACACACACACACACACATACACACACATACACACACATACACACACATACACACACATACACACACATATAGATAAATATAGATAAAAATTACAACAAAAATAAAATATTAAAATTATATAAAACTTTATATTGTATATTATAGTGTTAGTGACATCAAACAAATTTACGTATACACCGGTTACGGGTTTCGTTTACCCGTAAACCTAACCGATCTACAGGTCAAACCATCCAATATCGGTGGTCAACCAAAACGTTTTCTAAATCCTGATTTTCGTGAATCTGATCCGGGCGTCTACGACAATGATTTGTGTATGCTAAAATTTCCCGAACCATTTAATTTTAGTCAAAAATCATTGACCGCTAATGGTGTCCACGGTGATGATTATCTGGTCAACTCGGCATGTTTGCCACCGGAAAACTATACCGGACACACCTACCAGGCTGAACTGGCCTGGGTAGCCGGCTATGGATCATCAGATAAACAATCCAAGGGCTTGCAAATAGGCCAACGTATGATACAGGCCCACCAGGAGCTCGATGGGCGCGATCTGATTCATCTACCTGTCCATTTTAATAGGACAGCCAAAATGTGCCCGGTTAGTTTTTTTTAAATTTGTATTTAAATATCTATTTCCATATAAACTTTTTTATGTGCTAACCTTTATTGTGTGTGTGTGTGTGTGTTGGGGGATGGGTATGTATGGGTTGCTATTGAAGGGATAAAAAATTAATATAAAAATTATAGTTTAAAAACATTTATTTTAAAACTATGGGACAAGTGATCACATTATTACAGACAACACAATCATAATAATTAAATTAAAGTTACAGTTTATATATGTTAGTAAAAACTATTAAATATTTCTAGAAATGTAATTAATCTAAAAATACATATTATATGAAATCATTTACAGGAAATCATTAACAATTAATATTAGATATCTATAAACAATATAAATATATTTTTAAATTCATATTAAAAATATTGAATTTTGAATAAACATTTCAATAATTAATTTTATGTAGAAATATGTTTCTACACTATTATTAATAATAATTTATTATAGGGCGATTCAGGTGCCGGCCTATGGCAGTACTGGTACAATCGGGCCGTTTTGATTGGTGTACACAAGTATAGTAAGGGAACCATCAAACCCGACCGGTTTGGCTGTACGGATGCACCCCGTACTGGCATACGTGGGGAACGGGTATCCATGCATATAAATTGGATTATGGATACAATGACTAGTAATTAGTATCAGTTATTATTAGTTATTTTAAATTAGTATTTTTTAAAAATTTTTATTTAGTTAACTAATGGTCTAATTAATTATTTATATATTTTTTTATTTAAAAAAATTATTTTAATTTAGATTTATATTTAATAGATTTATTTTTTTGATAATTTTAATTTTAACTTAATATTTAAATAATTTTAAAAAATGTATTTTTTTTGTTCAGTTTATCATATTATATAACTATTAATAATTTAAATAAAATTAAGAAATAGTTTATATAAATACTAAATAAAATGAAAAATCTAACAAAAAAAATACTTAAATAACAAATATATTATTTTTTAAATTCTAATTTTTATTTTAAATTAGTATACAATAGTTTATTTATATTGATTAAAATATGAATTTTGAAATTGAAACTATTAAATAATTAAATAATAATAATATTAATTAAAATAAATTTAAATTTAATATTTTACTATTTATTTACAAAATTACTTAATAGTAATAAATGATTTGCACTGAAATTCACACACATTATAGCAAACTCCCAGTTATTCATTGGAAATAAATCCAAACAATAGAACCCAATGTCGGGTCCACACAAACGTTCAATCATTGACTGGAGTTTCCATTTCTGGCGATACGATAGTCGATGGGAACGACATATATAGGACTCGAGTAGATGTCGGGGTCGATGAGCCGCACGTATAATCCAAACCGACATTAGATTA